CCCGCAGACATCCCCACGCATCCTAGACAGCAATCACCTGCGCATCCACCGACAGAAATTCTCTGGCTCCCGCGCGCACTCCCTACAGCATCCCCGCAGCATCCCTGCATCCGCAGACATCTGCAGCACTCCTGCAGCATTTCCCACAGCATCCGCAGATACCTTGCATCCCGCAGCATCCCACAGCATCCTGCAGCATCCCGCAGTCGCCTGCCCGCATCCCCGCAGCATCTCTGCATCCCCGCGGCACTCTACAGGGCATCCGACCAGCATTCCTGATCCCCGCAGGCATCCCTGCAGCATCCCGCAGGCACATCCCCGCAGCATCCTGCAGCATCCCCGGCAGCACTCCTAATATCCCCGCAGCATTCTGCGGCATCCTCATGGAACCCACGCGCGAGGATGCACAGTAAGCTCACGCGGTGATAATGTATGGCGTCACGGCGCCGCCTTCATTTCGTAAATATCAGGAGAGCTGCCAGGGGCACTAAATATTTAGCTCTCTCCTCTTGCTAAACCATTAAATATAAGGGGCGCGTGCCTGCAAAGTCGGGCGTGTTGCAATGACGAGTGTGTGTATGCGCGGTGCATAATTGTACGCGGTCACGCTATTACACTTACATATGATGTAACATGTACTATGACTTACACTTACGATGTGTACATTGTACAGTATGACATTACCTTACTATGGGTGGGTACACTCGTAGCGAGTGGGTGGACTTACACTTAGGCGGTGATGTGACTGTACATGATTGACTCTCACACTTACCCTGGATTAATGTATATGTAATGTGACGTATTTTACCTTAATGTCATGGTAGATGTGACGTATTTAATATCTGTGATGTACATGTAGATTTGTGGACGTACTCTGCGGTATACCTGCTGATGTACGGTACATGTGACGTGATTTAAGTCTGTGATGTAGGTGTATATGTGACGTATTTTACATGTGATGTCGTGTACAGTGTTGACGTTTTATACCTGTTGATGTACGTTGTAGTGTGCACGTATTTATAATGTGCTGTCATGTACATGCTAACTTGACCGTACATACAGCTAAGACGTTCCTACGCTGTTACGCGTTTTAGTGGCGTCTCACAAATACATATGAAACTATCACTATTACATTTCTATTAACAACTGCAATACTAGAAATTACACCCATATTAACACTAATATTATAGTAATTAAATACTATACAGTGTCACATGCCCGCCGCTACTCGCAAACATACAACCACCACCCACACATGCACGCACGCACGCACGACACGCACCACCGCACGCACCACGCAGCACGCGCACGGCACGCACACAACACAGCAGCACACACCACAACACCACACACACACACAACACACAAACACCACCACACACACACACACACACAAGACCACACAGCGCTGTTACACTCCCATTTTAATAGTTAGTCGCATCACAGTTCGCTGCTAAACAGTCCGACGTGGCAGCTCACCGGTTCACACCAGTGAGATGTGTATAGATGCCGTAGTACTGGAGAGTCACAGGTGCGTGCTACACAGCTAGGTACCCGCACCGGCTGGTGCCAAATTGCCTGGGTATACCTCAGCTGTGTGCTTGCGCGTGCTGTATTGTGATCGCGTCGGTGTGCGGCCTGTGTTACGTACTTGTGCGTGTGTAGTATGGTGTGGGTACGTTTGTGCGTGTGTACGTTGTTGCGTGTGTACAGTGCGCGTTCGTAGCGTATGTGCGTGTGTACGATGTGGTGGATGTACGTTTGACGCGTTACGTACGTTATGTGACGTGTACGTTGTGCGTAAATGTACGTAGGTGAGCTTGTACGTAAGTATGTGTTGGCCGTCACAGAACCCTGGTCCTGCCTGAACGAATATAGAGTGTGCCACTTTCTACGATCATTCAAGTTTGCACGGGCTGAGGCTAGGCAGGCAATGTCCGCGCCCAAGGTTACGGTTTACATTACAGACAGGATCAACATTCGATCAGCATTGCTAACCACCGAGCATGACCGTGTCACGGACATACTAACACCAGTAGTAGCACCAACATCGCACCCTAGATCACTCCAACAATGTGTATTGCTACGTCGGAACAATAGGAATTTACAGCAACGTCAACTCTAGTTCTCTCGTGAGATGCAATTCGCAATTACCATAACCAGTTTCTAGACACGCTTGATACTGTCACACGATACTGAAGCACAAACACGCGCGTAGGCACGAACACATACAAATACACAATGGAGAATGGCTGAGAGAAAGGCAGAGAGAGAAAGAGGGAGAGAGAGAGAGAGAGAGGAGAGAGAGAAGAGAGAGAGAGAGAGAGAGAGAGAGAGAGAGAGAGAGAGAGAGAGGAGAGAGAGCGAGAGAGGAAGGAGAGAGGGGGATACGGAAAAATAGAGGCAATGAAAACATGAACCTGATGTTTGCCTACAGTGGGGAAATACTTGTTGAGAACGAAATTAATCTGTCTATATGCGTAAAAAGCCATTGCTTTTTCATATCCAGCAATTTTTTCAAACAATCACTGCTATTTTAAATCATTTTAAGTCGCTTAGTTTATCAGACGCGGGTACATGTGTAACGCTGACAGGACAACCGCATACATTAAAGCGACTTCCTAACACCAGCAGAGCACGCCCACCTATCGCCTTGCTGCAGTAACCATACACGCACACACATGCGCAAAACATAAAACACAATTTTCTGCCTTTTAAGATACAGACATTTTACTGTAATATTAATAGGGTTACATCTTCATCATTATTTTATATCACGATAGGCGAGTATATGACATTATACAAAATAATCATAAAATGTGAGCGGCCCCCGGAAAAGGTGTGTTCGCATTGCGACGCAAATGCATCAGAACTTCGTTCATCTTAATTACGTTAAAATCTGTTTTTATGTATGTAAACACAAGGACGGCAGATAAACACACAGGCTAATAACATAACCAGACTACTATTCTATGGGGGGGAATGAATTTTAACTGAAGGCATAGACGTTGGTGGACGCTCCACCACACCTGATAACGGTATAATGATTGTTTGTCACGCTCGCTTCTTAATTAAGCAGTTATCACAGCCCCAAAGCGTCAGCGATTAACAATCAAAGTGCGCGCTTCAGGGAATCAGAAGTCATAGCCAGCTCCGTACTCTGTTTCACTATGCACAGCAAGTTGGGGTTTTGTGCAACTAGGGGGAAACCTATAGAATATTTGGGACAAGTGAAGATCATCTGTTGCGAAATACCAGCTAACGATGATCGATAAAACTTCTTTTTTAACTATAAATAACAATCACGATTTTTAACAATTATTTACACCAGCTGCTCAATTTTAAAGCTGCGCTGTAAAATTCGAATCAGCAGTGTAAACGGATAATGATTAATGATCAGGAGAATTTATATCATTATCACAATACCTAGAATTAAAATTATCATGAACAAACAGGCATATTGCAGGATCAGAAAATATGCATGTATATTGCATCTGGATTAAACAAACAATAAAGATGTAACCAAAAATATAACTCCGTCCAGTACGGAATAGAATCTATAGCCATAGGTAGTAAAGCTGTGTGCATGCACACCAACACCTCTATACGAAACCACGCATAAGTGGGTCAGGCACCGACAAAGACTTGATAGACAGCTAGTTTTCAAGACTTGTTTAATTATGTAGTGTTTTTGTAGCATTTATAGTTGAGTTATTTTTAAAAAATAGTACCCTCCCACAAAGACGAATTGTTTTCAGGAAATATCCTGGTGAATTAAAGGCTTGGGTAAAGGTTAGCTCCGAATCACTCCTTTTCGAATGAGGGGCAGAATGCCTTCTCATGCTCCGAGCCCCTCCACATCCTAAAATCCATCCTGCGGCCTTCACTCTGGCCTGGGTTATGTTACATTGTCGGTAATGGTAACTAACTGTGTGGCTGCTGGCCCTCTAGTGGTCACTGACAATACATACATCTTCTTGTGACGACACCGCTAAACTCAGCATGGCGTCGCCGCCCCCGCATCTCGCGCTCCGCCGGTTGCTGCAGCGCCCCTAATGAGGCATTCGTCGTTCGGCGGTGGTGGATGCGGCCGTTGTCGTCGGGACGGTTGCGCGTAGCGTGCGTCAGCGTGATGTCACTCCTGAACGCGATGCAGCAGGAAGATGGCACGAACGGATCGTTCGCAAACCACACGCGTTACTGCAATCTCGCGGCCCCCTAGGGTTGGCGCCAGCTCTTGGACAGGATCGCGGATGCAATATCGTGTTAAGCGTTGTGAAGAGCGTGTAGCATGGTGAGACGAGGCGTGGTTGAAGTGTCAGAGCGCCGACGTTAAGGTAGTTCATCTGTACGGCTATGCAGTGCGAACACCGCGCTGCGCGCATTACGGTCGCCAGTGGTGAACGCTTGTTTACTGTCTTGCTCCTATTGTATACCCGTGTCACTGATACATCTCTGTAAGAAGCTGCAGGGAGCGGGGAGAAGGAAGGAGGCAGATGTGATGTTATACCCGTGTCACTGATACATCTCTGTAAGAAGCTGCAGGGAGCGGGGAGAAGGGAGGAGGTAGATGTGATGTTATACCCGTGTCACTGATACATCTCTGTAAGAAGCTGCAGGGAGCGGGGAGAAGGGAGGAGGCAGATGTGATGTTATACCCGTGTCACTAATACATCTCTGTAAGAAGCTGCAGGGAGCGTGGAGAAGGGAGGAGGCAGATGTGATGTTATACCCGTGTCACTGATACATCTCTGTAAGAACCGACGCGCTCACACGGCCAGCTACGAAACGCTGAATGTCACTAATATTCAAGTACGTTATTCGGGTAGTCTTCAATAAGTTTAGTCGTAATAGGGAACATTTCCTACGAGATGTAATAATATTAATAATCTCTCTATCGTTTAGAGCTACAATGTTTCTGAGAACGCCCCTCCCGAGTTTACAGCTAGTAGTGACACGTGGCGCCACCCAGCGGTAAGTGAGGTAGAGGTCGACCGTACTTGTCGGGTATTTCCGTGCAGAGTCGTATGGCGACGGCGTTGAGGCCTGTCAGCCGCTGTCTGCCGAAATGCTCGTCCGTCTGCCAATCATTCACGCACTGCAACGACAACACCGCTAATCAGACAGGTAGACGACATAGACCTCTCCTCGTGAGAAAGACAACCAAACAATATTGGTTATTGCTACTAGCTTAGGGTTAGTTAGGTAAACTAGACAAGTTCAAGTGTTGTTTTTTTCACGCGTACACGCCATATTGTCGAAATTTACGGCACTTCGTTGCCAAGCATTGTTTTTTGAACGTCTCATCCCAACAATGATAGGTAAGTGCTGATAGGGTAATAGTTTACAAATATCATTCCGTTGTTGTCCGCCATCATACCGTTTCCCTGTAAATCACCAGTAGAGATACAGATGCTATATATCAGACTAAAAATAATATAAACGTCACACTGACGACGTCATGCACGCAAGGCGGGCGCATGCGCGGTGACCTCGGTGACGTCACTGACCTCGGGCAGAGGGAAGTGTTTGAACTTGAACATGTTCTTGATGTCTTCCAGGGATTCCCAGTCCTTGACAAGTCGCCGCGTGATGGCGCTCTCGGCCAGCATCTGTACCTTACGGGCCACGAGGTTCCACTGCAACACGACAAACCCAACACCACTACATATACAATACTAATATTTATATATATATTACATATATATATAGAGAGAGAGAGATAGAGAGAGAGAGAGAGATAGACAGCTATAAACGATAAGCGATAATATAACGATTACCGTGCCCGCTCTTTTAACCCCTGTTTAGTCTACTGTTAAGCTAGGTTTGTGATAGATTTCAAACATTTAAATAACACTATAAATAAATAAGAACGAGCGAAGAGGAGAAGCGCGAGAAAGAGATCGTGAAAGAGACAGACAGAGATGCCGAGAGCGAGAGAGAGCGCGCGAGATAGAGCGCGAGAGAGAGACTGCAAGAAAGAAGCAGAAAGAATCTGCGGATTCGCGGGAATGAGAAAGAAAAGAAGAGAATCTGCATCACTGCACTTCTCTCCATCACATGCACGCACGCACGCACGCACGCACCTTGTACTCATTAGAGAAGCTCTCGTCGGCTGGCAGACTCTTCGCCTGTGTCGGAATGCCGGAATAGTGGCAGACGAACTCGTACGTCTGCCGTTTCTCTAGCAGCTCCTGCTTACGGAACTTCTGCTCGTCGTCGTGTTGCGGTAGACTGCTGTCAAACTCTTTGAAGACGTAGTGTTGGTAGGCGCGAATCCAGCGGTGGATCGGGAAGTAGAACGACCGCTTGGTGGCGACGTGTTGCACCATGACGTAATCGACGTACCTATGCAGCGCGCGAGTGACGTCACCATGATTGTCGCGAAAGCAACGATCCTAGGGTTGTTTCAGGGGTGGGGGGTGACATGATGAAGGGACACACACGCGCGCACACGCACACGCACGCACGCGCACACACGCACGCACGCACACACACACACACGTATATATAATACATGATGTTTTAATATCGTAACCTACCAGTTGTCCCAGATTCCCTTCTCGTCTCGCCATAGCTCTATTTTCGCGATATCCTTAAATCCCGCCAGCTTCGGACAAGGAAATACGTCCATGTTTCCTCGTTCAAGGTCATCCCTGGAAACGAAGCATAAAAAACATAACATTTTACTTTTGCACAAAGACCATTGACGAGCGGCCTGAAGTTACGATAGAACCAGTAGGAAGATATTGCGTGTATATATATCAGGAGTAGATAATAGGGATAGATAGGGGTAGATAATAGGAGTAGATAATAGGGGGTCCCTATTATCTACTCCTGATATAACAGATATATATGTAACTAGACGAAACTACACAAAAAGCCAATAATGATAATACTTGCACCGAAAATAGAAATCGAATTACACCCAAAACGTTGCACACATAGTTTTACCGAGAATCACGCGAGAAAAGGTTCATAAAACCCCCTTATAAAAGCCCCACAAAAAAACAGACTTAACTTGTGTAAAAAAAATATATAAAGTGCATGCAAACACAACACCACGTGAAATGTTTAAAAGAAATATAAGTGTTGCAAAGACAGTATAGGCCTACCTGAACGGGACATCGAGGGTGATATCTGCGGACTGCCTGCCATCGCTGTCGTACAGCCGTACATAGACATTAGCGTCGGTGCCAGCTCCCCGCTTGTCGCCCGTGCGTACGTAGATGTGATGTTCGCTGCTACTCAGCAGGTACGGTCGGTAGACGTGCAGGGCTGCCTGACTCACGTAGCTCACGACCTGACCCATGTAGCTAATGAGGAGACCCATCCTCCACACGCTGCTGCTGCTGCTCGTACGTCAAGCCTTCCTTATATATCGGACGTCCGCTGGTATAGCGTGTCTTCCTGTGGTGCTGCTTGTCAGGTGCAACTATAAGATGAACAGGTGTGAGGGTGAGCGGGGGCTCTCTCCTTCCTCTCTCGCTAACTCGTCGTGGCCTCCCTCTCGTCATCTCTCTCTCCTCCTCTCTTAATCTCTTGTCCTGCTCCGTCTCGTCTCCTCTCTCTCCCGAAATCGTCTCTCCTCTGCTTCATTCTCTCTTTCTCTCTCGCCTTTCTCTCGCCATTCTCGCCCATTGTAGTATTTCGTATGTGGTTCGTCGGCCTACCGAGCGTGTTTGTGACTTTCAGTTTATTCTGTGGACAGTATCAGCGTGTCTCAGAACTGAGTTCCATGGTAATCATGGCGAATTGATTCGTCACGAGAGACCTTAGAGTTGACGTTGTTGCGTCACAATGCTTATTGTCCGACGTAAAGCAATACAGCTCATTGTGTCGGACCACGTGATTCTAGGGTGCGCATGTTGATGCTACTAACTCGGTGTTAGTAAGTGTCGTCTGACACGCAGAGCGGTCATGCTCCGGTGATTAGCAATGCTGGCGAATGTAATCGAAATCCTGTCTGTAATGTACAGCCGTAACCAGTTTCGGGCGCGACATTGCCTGCCCTAGCCTCAGCCCCCGTGGCAAACTTGAATGGTATCGTCAGACAAGATGGCAGACACTCTGTCTATTCGGCTTTCAGGCAAGGAGCCCAGGGTAATCTGTGACCGGCCACAACACCACATACTACCTACGTACAAAAGCTCACGCTACGGCTCCACACGGCACAAGAACCGTACCACCCCACATGACGTAGCCCCGCGCAACGAGTACACGACGCACAGTACGTACACACGCACATACGTGACGAACGCGGAAGCGCACGTACACTACGCACCAATACGCTCACTACGCAACAACCGTAACACACGGCACATACGTACAGATTCCACGCCACAACGTTACACACACAGCAACCCCTGACGACCGCCGCGCCCTACGCGAGCCACACACAGCTACGCGCGCACACAGCTGAGGTTATACAGGCATATGCTTGGCACAGCCGGTGGCGGGGGTACCTAGCTGTGTACGCATCGCACCTGGTGACTCTCCAATCCTTACGGCCATGCTATACACATCCTCAGATGATGCTGAAGACCGAGCTGCCCATCGTCCGATGTAGCCGGAGCGAACTGTGATCGACGTAACTTATTAAATAGGTGAGTGTAACAGCGGCTGGTGTTGTGTTTGTGTGTGTGTGTGCTGTGTGAATGTGTGTGTGCTGTGTGTGGTGTGGTGGTGTGTGTGTGTCGTGTGTGTGTGCGTGCGCGCTGTGAGCGTGTGCGTGCCGCGTGCGCGATGCGCGCGTGCGTGGCGCGTGTCGTGGGTGCGTGCCGTCGCCGGCGTGCGGCTGCGATGGGTGGTGTGGTGTGTGTGGGTGTGTACTGTAGTGGTGTGTGACGGAGGTGAGCGGGCGGGCATGTGAACGTGTGCTATACGGTACTTTAACTATTACTGAGTATCTCATTCGTGTAATATCGAGAGGTCTTTGCCTAGGATGTGGCCAGTTGTCACATAGAAATGTAATAGTTGATCACGTTTCATACTCGTATCCTGTGAGCGCGCAGTCCACGCGGTAAACACGCCTAGGCAACGTGTCTAGCTGTGATGTTAAGCGGTTCACGTTACATTACACATGGCCTTAATGCACATGTATAAATAGCGCGGTCACATCTACACGGTACATCACAGGTATAAATAACGTCACCATGTACACGTAACATCACATTGTAAAATACGTCCACATATACACGTCACATCCCCACGGTACAACTACGTCACATGTAGCGCCGTACATCACTAGTATATTAATACGGAGGATCACCATCTTAGAGAGGTAGCATCACAGGATAGTAAATACGTCACATCTACATGTACATAGTCTGAGGTAAACAACGTCACATAGTACACTGTATCATTATCGCCGGCTAAGTGTAAGTCACATGTACAGTCCATCATAGGTATCGCTGTAGAGTCTATATGTACTACAGCTCAGCCATCAATAGGTAAGTGTAAGTCATCTGTACCATGTACATCATAGGCATAAGTAGTATAGTCATATGTACAAAGTGACATTATAATGTGTAAAGTGTACGTAGGGCGTGACCACGCGTCACATTATGCACGCGCAGGCCAGCAATACACACCTCAGTCATTGCACACGCCGCGATTGTTGCAGGCACCGCTACATATTTAATGTGTGTTTAGCAGAGCGCAGAGCGATAATTATTTATGTTGCTCCATGGCAGCATGCTCCCTGATTGACGATGAAGGCAGGCAGCCTGACGCCAGTATATTAGTCGAACCCATGGAGCGTGAGCTTCAGCTGTTGCATCCTCGGTCGCGTAGGTTCGACATGAGGGATCGGCAGAATGCTGAGCGCGGCAGATGATGTAAGGGTGTGCGGGGCATGCTGCATGGGATGCATCGCGGGGTATGCTGCGGGGATGGCTGCATGATGGGATGCCTTGCGGGGAGTGCAGGACATGCTTGCGCGGGGATGCTGTAGGGAGAGTCGAGTGCCGCGGGGAGTATGCAGAATGCTAGCGTGGATGCGGGCAGGGAGATGCGCGCGATGCTGCAGGATGGGCTGCTGGGGATGCTGGCGGGTGATGGTCAGGTATGCCTGCGGGGATGCTGTCGGGAAGCTCCTGCAGGGGAGATGCTGCCATGGGATGCGGGGCGCGGGATTGCCAAGGGAGCTGCAAGGATGGCGTACAGGAAGTGCCGCGGGGATGCAGACGATCTGGCTGGGGATGCGGGCAGGCGATGCCTGCAGGAGCTGCCTGTGGGCTGCTGCGCGTGGCACTGCTGTGGGATGCTAGAGCGGTGGATGCTGCCGGGATGCCTGTGCGGGGGATGCAGGGCGATGCGGGCTAGGGATGCTGCAGCGGGAACTGGTGGATATGCTGGCAGGGACGCGCTGCCAGGGATGCCCGCGGGATGCCAGGGATGCGGCCAGATGGATGAGCTGCGGGGATGCTTGAAGCGGGGATGCGGGCCAGCGGAGAATGCGCGGCTGCTTGAGTCGGGGCATGCGGCAGGATCTGCGGTGGATGCTGTGAGGATCCTGTGAGGGATGCTGGCAGGGATGCTGTGGGGGATGCACGGTATGCTGCGGGGATGGCAGGGATGCGGGGCAGGGATGCTGCGGGGATGCTGCAGGATGCTGTGGGATGCTAGGTATGGCGCGGGGATGCTGCGGGATGCTGCATGGCGAATGCTGCGGGGATGCCAGGGATGCGGGAGAAGGATGTCTTGCGGGGATGCTCGTGGACTGCAGTGATGGCGGGCAGGGATCGCTGCGGGGATGCGGGATGCGGGCAGGGATGCTCGCGCTGGGATCGCGGATAAAGAGAAGATGTTGCGATGCTTGAGGTTTGTTAGGGAATGTGAAGCCGGTAGGGGAGATGCTAAAGTATTATAGACTCACAGGAGGACTGAGAGAGAGGTAGGAAGCGTAAAGGAGGAGCTTTGCTGAGAAGAGAGGCGGCTGGTTTGAGGAAAGGGTTGAGCGGACATCAAACGACACACGCTCTTAGTAGGAAGGAGGAGGGAAAGGAGCGAGAGAGGAAGAGAAATTCAAGGCACACTGCAGCACAAAGCGGATAAGTGTTTTGTTAGTAGGAGAGCGCTTTGGTACGGATTGCACCGCTATTCGGTGAGTATCGCAACAGTATACCGCAGAGGCGGAGTGCGCGCGAAGGGAATGGATTAGGATAAAATGAATAAAATAATAAGAACTAAGCACATCTTTCATCCGGTCAGGAATCGGCATCCGTGTGTATACCGCTATTATGTTGACAAGCATAAGAGCAGGATTAAATCAGTCATTTTGACAATAACAGGCAATAATGTCAGAGCTCGATCGATCACCTCTACAAACTTGATTAGGCCCACTAAGTCTATCTCACTCACTTCCCGAATAGTATCACTTTTCAGAGCCGAGTCCAACACAAGGTGTTACGGATTGCGCCAGTCGGCGTCTAACGAGTCTGGCTAGCATAATATCTGATGCCTGGAAGAAATCCAGCTTCTGAGATTCGAAATCTTCCATACCGTGATATGGTGCGCCTGTTATACGCAAACCGCTTAATTTCCAAGATCCCCGTCATTGCATCCCCATGCCGAAGCGATGCGATACCAAATTCGGCTCCGTCTATGGCTGGAAAGAAAATAGCGATATTAGAATAATTATAGAAAATGGTTTCATCTCCAGTCGAAACTTGGCCGTTTGGATTGATGTTCACCAGAGATTATCGATTACCCATACGATCCCATCGTATGAGAAAAAAGAACCGAAGAAGAGATACTGAACGGAAACATCTCGTAGCACCACATCCTGAGGTAAATATTCGTCTGTGTTAATGTTCGTGGATCAGCGTGTATACCTGCTTGTAATACGACCTTGAATCTCGCACACTATAAGTAAAAAATATCTAAGGTGTCCTCTTGTGGAGCCCTACTCGAACCGACTACCCTATCGTGGCGTGCGTCGATCATCATGCACGCTGAACAGTATGCGGGTCACGAAGATCCACACGCGCGCCGCGACCGCCCCGCAGAACAGCTACGAACGCACGCCCATCATATAAAGCGAATTGATACATTCTGTATAATATCTTCAATAATATATATAATTAATAATATAGTAGTATATATATACCTTATCAACCTGACTAAGGCCAAGAGAAAAGTAATTGAGTATCAGGTAAGCAAACTTAATACTTCCGTCACAGACGCAACTATTTTAAGAACGGTCAACCAAAGTTTATATTTTCGTTATTAAAACAAAAGACCACCGAGCTAGATCAAGTGCGTACACCTTCTACGCAGAGTAGCGTGCGTCGGCGGAATGCGTGGCGTGCCGGGTCGCGTGCGTGCATGTGCATTCGTCGACATAATATCGTCTATTAACCTCGTGATATTGAAACTCCCGTCCCATCTATTAGTTCGCGCCATTCCTTTACCATCCCCTCACTCTGCT